TACAACTTCCTTTATGTTCAAATAAGTCTTTCAAGCGGTTCAAGAGAATGCTTGGATCATTAATATCAAAAAATATAAATCTCAACATTTCATGGATATGCTTACAAAGGAAAACTTGTACTTTCTCTTTATCTTGTGCAATACACTCATTAATTTTATTTATTGTATTAGGAATGTCCATGGACTCAAGATACATTTTTATATTTATCATTTATGACATAGTTTCTTCCACTGACTTCAAGTGTTACAAACTCACGCTTTGCAATGTTGGATATAGCGTAACTTGATTAAGATAGATGTGATTTTTACTTGTTTAATCGTCTTGATTAGAGCTCTCGTACGGATAACGTGTTATAAATTCAACATAATTTAAATAAAATTAACAAAATTAAACTAAAACTTTTGTGAAGAGGATGAAGAAGACTTGCTTTTGAATACTTAGTAGAATGTATTCAAAACGATGTGTCTTTCATATTTACAATGGTGGTATTTATATCGGTAAAATCACTAGATATAATCAATGTACTCTTACACATATTTGACGTTATTGATATTATGGTTGACAATGTTATTTACAAAAGAAAAAAAAAACAATATTTGTAAAGTATTTGTTAGTCTTCGTCTTTCGATTGAGGTGTAAGTTCTGCTCACCATGGTGATATAATCCCCCATCTATCATAAAAGTTTGAACAAGTACGAACCATACCTTATCAGAAACTTCTGTTCCTTTTTTATTTTTCCAAAATGACAAAATATCTACATTGTTAAATTCTTGAAGTCACAAATTATATAAAGTATGATCCAATACTTCCTTAATTCGCTATTAGGGTTGTTAATTGACATAATTTGTGCTTGTTTGTTTGCTAGCTTCGTTTAGATATTATAAATTTGCATTGAAATATCCAACAATAACTATCCAAACAATCCACTTTCATACCCCATGGCAACAAGAAACACATATACATATATACAACACACAAAGGAACAACACAGAAAGCCTAATTTTGGTAACTTGTTGCTAAAGAATAGTTAAACAACAACACACTTAAACTTTTAATTCATCTATTCACATTCTATTCTGCATAATCCTTCTTATAACCCCAATCCTTATGAACCCGACGCCTCAATTTCTGCATGTCATAAAATTAAACCAAAACAAAAAAAGCATCATTTATCAATCTTGATTGCTAATTTAAGATCATGAAAGAGATTCAATTACACTTGCCTTCACCATAGAGTTGCTCAAAGCGAGCAACAATATGTTTCCCATACGTATACTTCTTCAATGAATTCAAATGGATTTTAATCCTACCAAGTAACACTTCCCTTTGGGGCCCACTACATGTTTGAAGAACCTTTTGTACCACATAATTTGCAAATTGGTCCTTCACCATCACCTAACACATCAAAATACAATACACAATTACCAAAATACCCTCGTAGAACCATAGTATTCCAAAGCTTGCTTTCATGGGATACTAGTTTCAATAAGTTGAAAAAGGGCATTCATGTCTTTTGCACAGAGTGAGTTTCATTATTAGGATTTGATTCCACTCACCAATAAATTATCGTTGCCTTCACCATATCCAACAATCTCTTGGATCATGATTTCTCTTGTATCCGAGTCACCATATTCCAAACATTTTTCAATAACATTTGATGCAAATTTGTGTTGACTTAGTTGTATTATATGACCTTCCAACTTATGTACAATTTGACTTCTTTCCTCCGGTTTTCCACCTTCCAAAACATACTACCAAACACCACAAGCAAACAAGTGATTATAATTGAAAGAAATGACCATTTTACCCTTCTGTTTGCGAAACAAAAAATGACTCAACTTTTCACAAAAAAAAGGGTCTTTTGAATTTTAAGTTGATGGATCTTTTGATTTAGAGTTAACAAACCTGAGTTACATAATTTCCATACTGATCTTGTGCAAGATCATAAACCGATTCCAAAATTTCATCCACTATAAATTGGCTGTGAAGTTCATCGGTAGAGTGTTCTAGTACCCTCTATTAAAAATAGAAAAACAATATAAAAATGAATTTACCACATTATGAAAAACAAAATAAATAAATCAAAATGCCACAAATTTTAACCTGTATGACACGGCAACCGTATGGATGTTTTGACAAGGCTGCAACTTGACCACGAAAAGATGAGATCACAAACCTGATTTTATCGGTTGGAATACTTTCAATACATTTTTGTATCACATGATTTCCATTTTGATCACGAACACATTTTAAAACATGCCCATTGAGTTCATGGACAAGCTTTGTTTTTTGTTCTAGATCGATTGCATCAAGAGCCTACAAGAAATTCGATAAAATAAAGGTTGAGAAGGGCATTCACGTCTTTTTACACAAGACAAGACTCGACAAGCTTTAGAGAGGCTATTTTTTATTATGTCTTTTGCACATACAACATATCTCGTCCTACTTTTTTTGTCAGATTGACATTAGTCTCAGATACAGTCCAATGCATGTCAAACACAATACAACCTGTCATGTAATGTTCTATGTGGGCCATAGTGGAAAGAAGAGGTAGAAAATATTATACCTTTTGGATTACACGACAACCATACATTTGGAGGCTTAAAGATAATATTTGACCTTCAAGTTGGTTTCCAAGCTCCCTTCTTTGTTCAAAGCTTCCATATTCAAAGAACTAAAAATATGACAAAGACAAGAAACATAACCCCGATGTTTAACCTTTTTAACAATTTATGTAATAATGTTTCACTTTTTTTTTACCAATTTATGCAACAATGTGTCACTTTGTGACCAATTTATGTAACTGACACGAATTATGCAACCATATTTTATGGCATTTGTTGGTGCTAAAATGAAATGTTGTTTGTATATTCTGTCTAAAAACCAACTTTATTGGATAAATTGGGAAAAACCTAAAACTTTATTGCACAAATTAAAGTATACAATAAGGTGTCGTAGTGGTATCTCACCTTTTGAATAACATAATTACCGAAAACATCTGTCATTAGTTTGGAAGCATGAGGAAGAACTTCGTTAAATACAGATTCTTTCTCCTCATTGCTACAAATTTCCAACTTCTGCTGAATGAAACGACTTCCATGTTGATCAACACTGCACCAATTGTATAAGAAAAAGCAAATTGCTTCGAGTTTATTATTAATCGACTTAATGCAAAAAAAACACAGCAACTAATTCGGGAAATTAAAAAGAGAAAAAGAAAAAGGGAATTAGAACTTGCCTGAACTCAACAATATGTCCAAAAATGTCCGATAGCTCTAACCTCCTACCCTTACCCGATTTCAACTCTTCAAGAAAAGAATACGTTTTCGGATCATCAATAACCTGATTTCCCAAATTACCCTTCCACCCCCGATACATCCCTTCATTCCTCCGACCAGAATAACTAGCCCCACCAATCGGAGACCCCGGAATTGCCGGACTTGCAAAGGGCGAATTCGTAAATTGTGAAAAATCCAAATTTCCCGGGCTCCCAAAATAATAAGAACCCGTTGTCCCTACCCTTCTCGAGTCAAACCCTAAAGATTGTAATTTCGGATCCTCCCCACGAACCGGAAGTTGAAAGGGTACCCCAAGATGTCCATAAAAATTATTAAAATGTGACAAATTTACCCCTGGGGTTTGACTTTGACCACTAAAAGGCGTTGGAAGAGGGCTATTAGGAAGATATCCGGTTGCATATGGTGAAAATGGTGATGGGTTAAACCCGTATCCATGAAAGTAACCCGTGGGTATTACATTCGGGTAAATAAATGCTGGATCTTGGGCATATGGTGGGGTGAACCCGGAGGATTGTAAAATCGGTTGCACTTCAGACACAAAATTGATGGGATTTTGAAGAAATTGATTCATATTCATTCCAATGTATGTTTGAGGTAACGAAACGATTTGAGGGTGGGCCCCATGAACATGAACATGAGACATGTTTCTTTGTTGTTGGTGATGTTGATGTTCTTGGTTTCTCGCAGTTTCTAATTTTGGAATGTTGGAGATGTTGAGAGATGCTATTCGGTTTCTTAAAGTGGAAACATCGGTTTCTGAACTTGAAATTGAAATTGTAGCAGTTGTAGGGTTGGAGTCATTGTGGTTATCTTCTTCTTCTTCTTCTTCTTCTTCTTCATTTGGTTTGTGTGTAAATGAGTGAGATTGATTGTATTGAGGTGACTTAGGTTGAGGAAGATCTTCCTGTATGAAAATGTACTTTTAGTAACAAGATCCTTTATTTGATCATTAGCTAAATGCAAGAAATAGCAATGTCTACTTTCATTTCTTTATATTACAACATTGTAATTTCAATTCTTTCATTTTGCTTTTTTCATGAGGAAGAACATTACCTGTTTAGGTGATCTCTCATCATCATCATCGGATTCTTCCTTATGAGTAGAAAGATTACTATGATCCAATTGCAATGAGCCACTATAAGAATCATCAAAAGAAGTCATTTTCCTATTATTTCCTGTATTTCTTATATTCCGAAAAATATTTTGATTTTCACCCGAAACCAATGGTGGAGGAAGCCTAGGATTCAAATTAACATGAGCCCAATAATATGCAAAATAAGATGGATCAGCTCTAAGTTGCTCTTCAGATTCAGGAACATTAGTAACATCT